AAAGCATAGTCTCCTCAGAGATACCATGTTGAAGGGTATTTTTTCAACAAATGATGTTGAATAAACTAGATATTTGCATGCAGAAGAATTAATTGGATCTTTCAGATAATATATAAAAATAACTCAAAATTGATTAAAGACTCAAATATATTTAAGACCTGAAATTTAAAAATTATAAAAAGAAAGCACAGGGGGAAAAGTATATGAAATTTGTCTAGATAATGTTTTCTTTTATTTGACTCCAAAAGCACAGGCAACAAATGTAACATTAAGTGAATGCCACTGCATTAAACTAAAAAGTTTATGCGCAGTAAAAGAAACAGTGGTGAGAAGACACACCTGGCAGACCGAGTGAAAATACTTAGCAGACACACACCCAATAACAGGTTAGTATTTGGAATATATGAGGAACTCAAACAACTCAAGAACAGGGAAACAATCCTATTAAAAATGGGCAAGGGACATAGATTTTTCTCAATAGAAGACATTTAAATGGTCGACAGAAATATGAAAAGCACTTATTGCTAATCGTTAGGGAAATGTAAATTGAAATCACAATGAGACATCACCTCACATTCACAAGATTAGCCATTCTTAGAAAGATTGATGACCACAAATGTCAAAAATACGGAAAAAATAAAAATCTTGTACACTGTTGGTGGGAATGTAAACTGATATAGCCATTATGGAGAACTACCGAGGTTCCTTAAAAAGTTAAAATTAGAACTACCACAGGATGCAACAGTTCCACTGCTGAGACTAACAAAGGAAATAAAATCAGTGTGTCCAAGAGATGGCTGCACTCCCATATTCACTGCAGCATATTCACAACACACAAGTTATGGAATCAATTTAAGTGTCCATATACAAACAGTTTAATACTATTTAACCTCAGAAAAATCAGAGAGGAAAATTCTGTCATTTCTATTAGCATGAGTGAGCCCAGAAGACATATGCTAAGTAAAATAACTGGGCACAGAAATTCAAACATTGTATGACCTCATTGATACGTGAAATTTAAAAAGGTGTAGCCTATAGAAGCAGAGAATAAAATGGTGGATAATAGAGGCTGATGTGGGATTGGGGAAAAAGTAGGGAATAGGGAGGTTGGGAAGATGTTACTCAAAGGACACAAACATTCATTAATATATTAAGGAGATACATGGTAAAGCCTGGTTATTACAGTTTATAAAAATACAGTATGTACTCAAAAAAGGCTGAAAGGTCTTTCTCACTACATAACAAAATGATACATATGAAAGTAAATGGAAAATTAATTAGCTTGATTTAGCATTTCTATAATGTGTACAATCTAGTTGCATGTCACATTTACATCTTTATTTTTATACAACCTTTATCAGTTGAAAAATAAACATCAGTAACAAACAAATAAATTCACATTACATTTAACTCAGCAGTTCCACATTTAAAAAATAACACAGCCACTTATCCCCATCTGATGTAATATATCATTTGGTTATGTCGCTAATTTACTGTGGTTTCCCACACTGGAAATAAAGCTTGCCAAAGGCTGGGGTTTTAAATGCGTTTTGTTCTTTATTGTATCCTTAGTAACTCTCACATTTAGGCACCCAATAATGGATGAATGAACAGAAATGAAAAAGGGAAAGAAGAAAGGAAGGGAGGGAGAGAGGAAAGATGGGAAAGAGATAGAAGTGGGCTTCTAGGTGGGAAGTAAACAAATGTACAACAATGTATCTCACGGTGGAGCACCCAGTTAAAATTAAAATCACCCAGTAGCACACTTGTGCATAGTAGGCATTCAGAAAATGTCTGTCAGAAGACTTCGTAAGCAATTTCTCTGACATGTGCTTTCTTCCATAGTTAATGCTATTTTTTCTTTTGCCCTAACCAGAGAGGGCCTGTAATGGGATTCTTGGTTATTCACTGGGACCACAGAACAAACAGTAGTAGGAAATTACTTCCTTATCTCTATTTTCTCCTCACTGGAAGGCAGAGCAAATCTCCTGCGCACTTTCCAGGTTTGCTAAGATGTACCTGGACAAGGTTAAAGTTCTGCAGGTTGGTAGGCAAAGAGGCCAGGAAGCAAGAAAATGGCCACTCTGGTTCACTGTAGTTTGCCTTGTCTGTAAGGTCATACTTGTTTTGCTCATAGTAACATGGGACTGTTTAGTTCCATCATAAAATCCAGATGTTGATACTGAGTGTCTTGCTTGTTTCCTACATTGCCAAAGTCTAGAAACCAGTCTCTCCCAAAATTCATGTGATTCCTGTGTGAAGAACTTCATCCCAGTGCAATAATGTTGCCAGGCCATAACTGGTGAGCAGTGATTAGGTTATGGAGGACTGTTCCTGATGGATTAATATCACAGTCACAGAAGTATGTCAGTTGTCACAAAAGGGGATTTGTTATGAGGTCAGGCTTCACCCTCTCTTTCCATCCACCATTTGCCATGGGCTAAGGCAGCAGGAAGGTTCTCACCGGATGGCAGAGCCATGCCCTCAGACATTCCAGCCTCCAGAACCAACTACCAAATCAACCTGTTTTTCATAATGTACCCAATCTCAAGTATCTGTTACAGCAGTAGAAAACAAAGTAAGATTCTCTCTCCCTCAAAGATAAGCTGAATATCTGGCTTTTCTTTGTAAAGTATAATTATTAAATTCTTTTTAAAAGACCCAACTTGTTTTTAAGACACCTTCATTGATATGCAATTTAGATTCCGTATCATTCACTTACTTAAAGTGTACAATAAAGAGTTGTTTGACCATCACCGTAATCTAACTTTAGAACACTTGCTTCATCTCACTGAGAAAATTTGTAGTCACTTCTCACTGTCCACTCTAGACAACCACTCATCTACTTTCTGCCCTATGTATTCACCTATTCTGGATACATCAGACAAATGGAATTATACAATACCTTCTATACATGACTGTTCCTTTCCACCACTGTTCCTGTTCCAACCACATACTGTGGTTGAAGCATCCATTTTGCAACATGTATCTTCTTATTGAATTTGTTGGATAATATCCCATTGTGTGAGTGTTCACATTTGTTTATTTATTCACTAGACTTTAACAAAAGGATGACACAGACTGGGCTCTGCGGGATGACCGATTTGTCATGGTGTATCTGTCTCCTGTTGATCTTGCCTGTCCCTTGGTGACAGAAGACATTAATCCAACCAGCCATATAGCAAGGTCAGGGAAGCGTGTGCTGAGCATGTCACTCTCCATTCCTTCCCCCAGCTGAGGCTGCCTCTTCTTTTGGCTTTAGAGTGTGATGGTGGCATCTTAGCCCAGCCAAGACTTGGCCTCCCCATCCTTGCCTGGTCATAAACATCACTCTCTACTCCTAAATCAAGTTTGCCCTCCATCTCTTGTCCATGCTGTGACCTCAGAGAGGCACTTTATCCTACACTGGTTGTTCTCCACCACTTGGTGAGCTCCTTCTGCCAATGGCTGATTATTCTCCACTACTGTCTATTTTCAGGGCTCAGGGTATAGTAGATATAGGACAAATCACTGAGACTGTTCCTCCATCCAAATTGCCTTTTCCTGCACTGTCCATTTGACTTTTAATAACTTTCCTAGTCCCCTCCTACCCTTCATTACATGGAGCATTGATCATTCAGTGTCTCCTGGGCTCAGGTAACACATAGTTCTCGTGTGTGTATGTGTGTGTGTGCACACACACACACATGCACGTGTCTATGAAAAATTCTTACTCATGTATTTAAAAATTTAATAAATTCAACAGTTAATTGAGGTCTATTTATATGCATTAAAATGCAGCCATTTAAGTGTACAATTCCATGAGTTTTAAAAATGTTCACCCAATCTGTTTTGGTAGTTCTACACTATCTACAAAGTTGTATTTCTGGGGCTGGGGATTTAGCTCAGCGGCATAAGCGCCTGCCTTGCAAGAGAGCAGCCATGAGTTCAACCCCAAGCACTAGTTTTAAAAAAAGTTGTATTTCTATTAATATTGTTATGCACTGATATATTCAAGTATACTTATCTGATGATATAGCCAATTCTACTGATGATAACAAGAGACAACACAGTAACCATGGTAGAACTCCTTGTATAGAAGTTTTATAAGTGTTTTTTAGTTTTATGTGTCTATAGGAATATGATTTTTCTGTCCTGCTTTGTTCTATTTCTCCCTCTAATATAGAAAGGATAGAAATACATGTTAAGACTCATGCTTGCGTAAAACCTATAAACAATTTGTGAGAACTGATCTTATGACCCATGATGAAATAAACAAATGCTTTGAAGGGAAAAAAGGCACTACAGTACCCAGTGCTGATTCCAGAGTGTCATGATACGAAATCCAGCAATACTATTAATCTTTGTTCAGAGCGATTTTAGACTGCTTTAGTTTAACATCAACATAAATGAAGATATAGATAAATGCGTACATGTTTAAGTGTATAGGATTGATAGCCATATTACTAAGTTTTTATTAGATAGTTGAACAGAACTATTTGCAGCCTCCCTGTTTGAAATCCCATTTATATGTTCCATTTTTGTATCTTGAACAATTATTTGTAAGAGGACAATATGTAAACATCAAGAAGTGATTTATTACTGTTTACTTTTTTCTTTGAAAGTATGTACTATTTCTACCTGTTTTCTGTTTTTTTTGTCTTTCTTTAAATAAAAAAATAAAAATAAGGTGTTCACCCATAAGTTATATTCATGAAACCCCAACTTTCTTCAAGATACAGAACATTTCTGTCACCCCAAAAAGCCCCCTCGTGTCCTTTTCAAACAATATCCTGACATATCACCTGAGGCAATCACCCATTTCCCTGATATGGTAGCTTGGTGCTGGCTGTCACCAAACTTCCTAGAAACGGACTGAGGCAGAACGTACTCCCTCACGTCTATCCATATTTGACAAGAACAATATCTGAGAGGTTGATCTATGCTGTTAGACTGTCATGAACTAATTCCTTTTGCTCCATTCCCAACACAGTAACTACTGAATTAAATATTCAATTAAATAGACTCCCACATTAAAATGACTTTAATGAAGTGATTAATATCAAATTGTGCATTACATATTAATAAAATAAAAACATGCTTTATTCCTTATCATCAGTGTTCTAGGAGATTGCATTGGTTGGGGTTCTCTAGAGGAACAAAAGGAACATTTTACAGAAAAAAAATGACACAAGGATCTTTATTGGGTACGTTTAACAAATCAGATTTGAGAGATCATACAATGCCTGTTTCCTCACTGAAGAGCAATCCAGTGGCTGCTAAGCCCAAGAAGTTGGGATCAAGGATGCAACAGCACTCCAAGAATGAAGGCTCAGGAGCTCCCTAGAGAGCCGCTGTGTGCATATGCAGTGAGAGGCTGAAGAAGCTGGAGTCCCCAGGTGACAGGAGTAGCAGAAAATGCCCCAAGCAGAGCAGAGTTTTACAAACACAGGCTGCCTTCCTCCTGCATCCCTTTTCATCCTAGCCAGGATTCAAGCCTATTGAATTGTGTCACCTGCAATCAGGTTTGGTCTTCCCCCTCAGTTTGTTGTCCAACATGCCAGTTATCTCTGAAAACTTTGCATAAAACGTCCTGAAGTATGTTTCACTAATCTGCTAGGTATCTTCATCCAGTCAAATTGCCGTATCATGGTTAAGGGTCACAGAGGCAGAAAAATAAAGGGACCCACCAGCACTCTGCACACCGCTCTCTCCTCACAAATCTTGGAGCCAATGAACAAAGGAGAGAGAAGAGCCTCAGGGGAGCACACAAGCAGCCAGTGTCCGCAGCAGAGGTAAACCACAGGGATACACAGTCTCCTCCTGTTTAAAATGAAATAAACTATCTGAACTTCTCCCTTAAATCAGAAATCAATCCCCATCAGTAGTATCAATAAACACTTCCCTAGGTACATAACATTCAGAAGTAAGTTCATCTCAAGATAATTAGTTTAATAAAAGCTACATTTATAGCACGAATTGTTTTACATTACCTTGGAATTGTAGGAATTGTGCAACCTAATGCTTAACAGAATTAAATGGAAATCCATAATTTTTCTCAATAAGTCTTTGTTAAACAAACAGAATCATGCTGCCTGCGATTTCCTCTATTTTTGCAATTTGTTAAATTAAAGGCACATAGGTGACAGACAAATGAATGAAAGCAGAAGAAAGTCATTTTCTAGGTTTGTGGAGTGTGTACTTCACCTCTTTGAACCTGGCTGCTTTTTTTTTTCCAAGAGCAGACCCAGCCTCACTGTCAGAGACTTCCTTCTCCTGCTGCTCCTCTTCCTCTTCCTTCTCCTCTCCAGTAATTCCTCTGTCTTCATCAAGCATGGGTTCCTCTTTCTCCAGGTCTATGTCACCTACACTTGGAATTCACCTCTATTTGCTGCCTTATGTGATCTCTCTCTCCTCCTCCCTCCCTCTCCTTCCCTCAGTCTCCTTCCCTCCCTTTCCCTCCATCCCTCCCTCCTCTCTCTCCTCCCTCTCCCTCTCCCATTCTCTCTCTCTCTCTCTCTCTCTCTCTCTCTCTCTCTCTCTCTCTCTCTGGTAAGAGTCTTCATGGGCCATAGATCCAAATGTCACATTTCAAAACATGTTCAGAACTAATGAGTCTAAGTCATAAGCTTCAAAGCTCGGGCTTGTAATGGGGATTCTGACTGATAACCCTTAATTAAGGTCTTTAAGTGTACACAGTCACTGGAGTCACTTACTAGTGTCAGGCTTTCAGAAGAAAACTCCTTCCTAACAGATTGAAAATGTGGACAGTAGGGTGTAATTCCCTGAGCTGCAGGGAGCTGCAAATCAGAAGGAATGAAACAGAAACTCTCAGGATGCTTTGAGCATGAATTTTATCCTTCGCAGATGTTGTCAAACTGAAAGAGGTGACAGAGGCAGCACAAGAAGAAGCAAATGCTCCACGCTGACCCATCATATTTGGAGTGATTCAAAAGAAAAAAATAGCAGAGGAATAATAGGTTTATGCACTGAGGCAGGACACACAGGCTGGCGAATGGGAGGTGACTCAAAGCAGGTTGGCCAGAATCAAGAAAGTCCCTCTGATCATGGACCCCAGTGACCCAACAGTGACAGAGACCAGGGGGTACACAGATACTCCACATTCCCCAAGCCTAGCCTCAATGCTGCCCCTTCTCAGGGTCCCAGCTGTAAGAACTGCTATTACTGATGTGGTGGCATAAGAACAGGTCACTCTCTTTCACCAAACTTACAAAAATAGTACAGGATTTGGGCAGCATCTATACACCACACTGAGAACTGAGACTTTCTTTATTCCCACCACATGAAGTCAGCCAACAAGAATGATAAAACGCTGTTTCTGATACCACAGCTCCTGTTTGACAGAAATAGTCACCCTGAGGTGTAGCTTAGTGATCACCATGCTGAAGTATACTTAAATGCTGACATCAACAATGAACAGATGTGTGGCTTTAACCTTGGGCTAGCATTGCCAGGTGCAGTACAGACTGCCCAGTCCAATTCTATGTGCATCTCAGATAAACAGAAAACAGTCTTTTATACATGGGACATGCTTATCGTACTAGGAAATGATCTGTTATCTATCTAAGATTTGAATTTAACTGGGAATCCCATATATTTGCCATAGCTAGCAAACAGATCCCCATCCTTCATCCTCATTTTTCTAGTTCATTCCCAACTGCATTGCAAAGCCTGTCTCAAAGGGTAGCTGAAAATCCACTGAGACCATGTTGACTCTGTACCATGTTAACATACTACTGACTAAAATGAATTGTGACCATGACAAATTGAACTAGTAATTACTTTTCTCCTTCCTCATTGTCTTTGTCTGCCTTTTAGCTATTTCTAAATGCTAAACTTTTCATAAAGGTCATTTATGTTTTCTTTATGGTGGAACACGTCTTTTTTTGCCTTAGAAATCACAACACGGGGGGCTCAGATACAGAAAAAGAAGGTGAGATTTAAAAGGGACAGCTGTGCCTCCTCAATCTCAAGGCTTATCTGCTGACACGATTCTCTCCCCCCACTCATCACAGTTTCCTTTGTGACTGTGGGACAGAACCCTTTATTTCCCAGTCAGGGTAGGCATGATGTGTGCCTAACCTAACCACTCTGCTTTTGAAAAGGAAATATTGTTGACTTAAGAGATCATCTCAGAGCCAAAAAGAGACACTGAGGTCCCTCCACACAGTCACCTTACACACTTTGCCCAGGGAGTCCCATGAACCACAATCGGCAAATATTCACTTCAGAACAGCTCCTGCCACATTTGTATGCCATTCTGCTGCGTCCAACATAACGTCTAACTGCATATGTGCATCAATAATCTTTTATTGTGTCATAATGCATTTTAGTGTGTGGATGGCTATTATCTTTTAGAGGCCCCCATTTAGATTTATGGAGCAAAAGAGAAAAGTTTTTTAAAAATGTAATCTAATTAATCTGAGTGCATTTGTATGCCTATTAAAATTCACCTGTCCGGGATTCGCCATTTATCATGATTACAAGGGAACAGCCATGCTGAGAAAGGGACTGCCTCTTCATTTAATAAGAAATGATGATTTATTATCCAGGATGCTTTTAGTAATGGTTTAGATCTAACAGACAGGTCTATATGACAAACTCACCATGCAGACTCTAAAACTAGATATGTCCCTTCATGGGGGGAGCCTCCTAGGGATGCTCTGAGACATGGTCATGCTCTGTGGCTATTCCAGCCCCATGGAGACCCAGCAGGAAAAAGGAAACCATCTTTCAGGTGGTTGGTAAGTGGGCAGTCCCTTCCTGATTACAAACAGCAGTGCCACTGACCCCCAAGTCAGCAGTCTGAGTCCATGAATAGGAGATGGTACAGGTAAAGGGGTCCTATGGAATCCTCAGTGCCCCATAGTTAATAACCCTCACTCTGGGAATGAAGTGTTCCCCTCTGTGAGAATAAACAGTGGGAACCTGACCTGGCACTTTCTTCCTGTACTAAAACTAAGGAGCAATTTTTTTTATTTGACCAAACCCAAAGTCAGCAATGCTTATCTATAAGTCTATGTCCTCTAACAACTGGCCAACAGGAGTCTGATACTAACTTGAGCAAAGCTAACAAGAACCCCAGGATAAGAGGCCCCAAACCCCTGGGAAGATCCCTAAGATACATTTTCAAAGCATAACAAAGAGCTGAAACCCCTTGGCAAACAGCAGGGTTGGAGGATTCAGTGAAATCCTGAAACAGACTGCATTGCCCTTGCCTCTGCCTCTTGGGGTACAAGACCCATGTTCCTAGTCTAGGGATTTTTTGGTCTGTTTGGGGCTTTAGTTGGTTTAAGTGTGGGTTTGACTTTCCACCTTCTCAATCCTCAGGTCTGTGAGTTCCTTGCTGCTGAGATTCATGCTGCCACTGTTGATAAGAGACCAGCCTCTTAACAGATTAAGATTAAGTCAGATAACAATACCACATCCAGCAGCCTAGGAGTTCACTGTGCAGAAGAGTAGGGCCTGGGGTGAACCCCTGAGACAACCTCTTCTTACGTTTTCTTGGTTTTTCATTTGTTTATTTTTGATCCTGCAACTGAACCCAGGGCTTTCAACTGAGCTACAATCCCAGGAACACTCTTTTCTTTCTTTTCCTTTTATCCTTTTTTTAAAGATAGAGTCTCACTAAGTCACTTGGTTGCCCATGCTGGGCTCAAACTTGCAATCCTCCAGAGTGCTGGGATTAGAGACGTGTCACCATGCCAGAGTTTCACGTTTCAGCTGAAAGAAAAAGAATAAACAGTACCTGGCCAGCTCAGAGCACCAAGTGAACCAAATGAAATCACAGTTTAGATTTCTCAAGGGCAGATTTTTGTCTCATCACAGCACAACATCCTGGACACCCAACAGCTCCTGCAAAGAGAGTGCACCATGCAAGAAAGCTTCCTGGAGGAGAAAACACCATAAATGAGCCCTAAAGAATGAGTCACACCTACGCATTGGTGATCATGACTTTGCAATCCAAGCACAGTACCTTCACCATGTTAATAAGGGTCCTTGGAATAGGTCTGTGCAAAGTCTTCATGATACCTGTGACTTTACCTGGAATCCCCACAGGTAGAGCCTGCAACACGGGTTCCTGAGTAAGACATGTATCAGGAGATGCTCACACCAACCACAGATAACAGAGTGGTGAGTGAGACAGGGAAGCAAAAGCACACAGTAGACGGTGCACTAGTGAGCTTTCTGCTGCTGTGGGCAACTGGAGCTCAGTCCTGCTGGGTGCCACTGAGAGACTGCAGATCACACCTCAGAATGGTTTCACAGAAGGAGCAAAGATGCTGGGGTTTTTACCCACCAACTTCTGCTGGCACTGGCATTAGGACTGGTTGCCCTGTGTGCAGGGAGCAAAGCACAATTTTGCAGCCACAGAATGGACTCAGGTGGAGAATCCTGGTGCTTGCTGTCAGAGCCATGGTGTGTGTGAATGCTCTGTGCCAAAGAGGATGTAGGAGGGGCAATGATAGCATCTGCTGCCACAGTAGAGAGCATATGGCACCATCAGAGAAACCCTTCTAATAAATAACAGCAGGCGGGACTGAGCTCGCTGGGGGCAGTGGGGTAGAACAGCATGTCCCTCGTGCCAGAAGCACATCTATCCACAGCAGTGGATTGCTAGGCATCCCACCAAACTGATAAGCTCTCCCCCGAGAGGCAAAACTGATGATGACATAGTTGCACAAAGTACAGTTCTGTGAGAGGTTGACCAGAGACTTAAGTGGCCCTGGATGGGAAGTGTTACCAAGGTGTAGAGAAGGGGAGAGGGAGGGGGGTCATCATTTACCAGCATCAGTTACCTGGTCTCTAATCCCACCTTCCTTCTTGTAATTTCAGGATCCTAGAGCAGGAAAAGAAAGCAACTGGGGAAGCAACGTATGAGTCAGGAAGTATTTCAGTAACCTGGATATAGAAGCAGATAAAAAGCACAGTGTTGACTGCCCATGAGCCTGCAGCACATCTATGAACAAAAGGAATCAGCGAAGCTCAGTGAAACCGTGGGCCTGACCCCAGCAACCTGCCCCACCAATCTGAATTATTTTGTTATGGTCTAATTCATCCTAAAATTCATCGAGTCACCAAGACACCTACATCTAATAGACAGTATCACATATTTACAAAAATAATTTCTCTTTAAAATGCATAATATCCACTCACATTGACTCTTTGACCTTAAATGATCAAACAAGATTTGACTAAATTTAGCCCTTTAATTTTCTTCTGAGCTCTTTCCCAAACTCAATATTTTGACAATAGACAGAGGAAGGTGATACCAAAGATTTCGTGAACTCAAGAATGAATGTTCTTTATGTCAGTGAAGCCTTAGCATCAGTCAGAGTTACTTACCTCTGCATCTCTGAGAGTTGACTAATTCTGGATCCCTGACATAAAACTCAAACATTCTTGTAGAAATCCAGTATGTTTACACTTGTTGACAGATCTATGCCTGAATCAAGGTAGTGCTTCTTGCTCTTATTCAAAGGATTAATTTTGATCATTGATTTTAAGCAGTTATTCATCTTCCTCTTTAGTATAGAACCTTGGGCCCAATTGTAGATATCTTTGGCCTTAAACTGAGATAAAGCTCAATACTCTAAATGTATTACTGGCTTTCTTCAAGGAATTAAGAGTTTCTCAGTCCCTTTGTATACCAGTCTATCAAAACTTGGTACCTGAAGTCCTCCTTATAAACTGCAGACCTGGGTTGGCAGGAGGGCATATTTTCTACATACTGCATCCCCCACCCCACCTCATAGAAATGCCAGTAGGATAAATGCAAGCTTTTTTACCAAGGGAAGGTCTTAGGAAAGTCAAATGCCATCATTATTAATTCCCTGCTGTTTGGCTGGGATGGAAGCCACTGGTACACCGAAGGGAGAGGCTTGACTCCAAATAAATAAACACATGTCCTTTGGGCAGATGTCAGGCCAGCTCTGGCTGTTAACTGATGGCCCCTCAACACAGCGGCAGGCACAGCATGGTGAGGTGAGGTGATGCTCGCAGCCCAGATCAAGTCTTCCACTTCATCGCAACAAGCAGTCTGGAACGTTGGCCACATTTGAAAATCCATCTCTTTGAACCGACCCAGACAGCTTAATGAAGCAATATTTATGGAACTGATACCACGAGGGACAGTTGCTTCTTTTCTCTATCTTCTATTTTTAATATTTGATCTGGCAAACATATTATTAAAGGAATATTTCAAATCTGATTACTCTTCTGTTTGACTGTGTATTTTATTCATGCATGCTGAGTGTCAGGGGAAATTACACCGACCAGTTTGGGAGCTTTATTATGTCATTCTTTCAAACAGCTCTTTGCTCCAAGCATAATTACCATTCACACATAAGGCTATGGGCATTCAGCTAATCTCAGCCACCTTGCCTTAATTACAGTGGCCTCTTCATTCCCCTCCAGTCCCCTTGAGACCTATCTTAGCTTTTTCCCTGGGGACCAGGAATTTTCTTTGGGAGAAGTGGTCTCTCTGAATATGGAAATGATTGCTTTGTTGTCATTGTTTGGCATTGTCAATCACTGAGTTGTTTTTGAGCCGCAGTTTTCCAAAACAAACAAGTTTTTAAAAATAAACAGTTCACCTTGGAGTGGCCTGTCCTTGGCCTTGGTCCAGTCATAGCATGGTGTTCACACTCTTGAACACCACAGGTCTTTTGAGTTTGCTTTTCCTTAGTTAGAGGATATCCCTATCTTCAACACCTAGTAAATCTATCCTGCCTCAGGTTGGGGAACTAGTCTTACTTCTAGCTTGGCTTTTAACAGGCCAGAGGGAGGATTTGCATCCTTAGAAAGGGAACTACAACTATGTGGAGGAGGATAAAACATGGCCCCAGCAAGCCAGCCAAGACCCAAGGTTTGGAGGGGCAACGAGCTCAGGCTGCAAGCTCATCTCTGCTAACGCACTGCAAGGTGTGGCCTCACTCAGCACCAAAATAAGCCTCATAGATTTCAGTGATTTTTTCCAATTACTTGCTATCTGCTTTTTCTTTAAGGTTCAAATGGTATTTCTGTCTTTCAAGCAATATAGTCACTGTCACAACTACTTAGCTCTTCAATTGTAACGTGGAAGCAGCCACAGTTCATATGAAAACTAACAAGCATGACTGTGTTCCAATAAAACTTTATGTTAAAAAAAAGTCAGTGGATCAGATTGTGGCCTTAGTCTTTCCCTTGAATAAAGCTTTTTCTTAATAAACCTCAAAGAGTTAGCTTGATAAAATTCAATATAAAATTTTTGTTAATATATTTTCCCCTAAAATATTAAAAATACTTTACTGTCAATAATTTTTAAGTTCTTTTATATTCCACTTGAATTCTTTTAGGAAATGCAAGGGTAAAACTGAAACACCCAGTGGCCTTGAGCACAATTCCTTTCAAGATTTTTGGGCAATCAGATTATTGGGGATAGAACTCCAGGCCTTTTGCATGGAGTTACAACATCAGTCCTTTTTTACTTTTTTAAATTTTGAGACAGGGAATCACTAAGTCACTACACTGGAACTCACAATTCTCCAGCCTTAGCCTTCCAGAGTGATGGAATTACAGACATGTGACAACACACCTTGCTGCCTTCAGATTTTATCAGACAAAACAGTGATAAACCCTAATCCCAAGTTCTCTTCAGTCCAGACCTGGCCCCTACACTCTTTGACCCTGCAAGGTTCCTAGTCCAGCTTCCAGATAATAGCAGCCTGGTCCACTCCTTCTCATTAGACAGATGCCCACAGAGGTAGAAGGGACTGCATCTCAGAGCCTGGATTCTAACAGAAACAGTGTATGATACACAAATTGGCAACCAACAGTTGTAATTGTAATAAAGACAAATTCAGTGCAAGAAAAAGTAGGCAGATAGAAGAATAATGTTATGGTTTGGATAATAAATGACCCAAAATGGACATGTTGAAGGCTTAGTCCCAGAAATTGTCCAGAGGTAGGACTTTGGGGAAGTGATTGGATCCTGAGGACTCTAAATTCAACAGTAGATTAACCCACTGACAATTTCATAGCTCATGCATTATTAGAAAGTGGTGGAAGATTTAGGAATATCTCTCCTTCTCTCCCCTCCTCCTACCTTTCTTTCTCCTCCTCCTCCCTCTCCTCAATGATCTATTGCATCACAGGCCCAGAAGTAGCACAGCCAAGTTACCATGAACTGAAACCATGAGCCAAAATAAACCTTTCTTCCCTTATGTTGTTTTTCTCAGGTATTTTGTCACAACAATGGAATGCCGACCAACAGAGATAGAGAAGTCTGGGACTCCTTTAGACATCATGGGGAGGGAGGGCATCTCTGAGGAATTGACATCAAGTAAAGATTGGAAGAATGAAAGATTAAGCCCTCTAAAGGGTAGAGGTACAATCTGGGCAGAGGAAATAGCAGGTGCAAAAGGAGCAGGTGAGTCAGAGCCCATCATGGTCAAGACACAAGTGGCAACCAGGAAATCTGGAGAGCACGATAAGGATGATGATGGCTGGAGGATAGGTTGAAGATACCCCTGGCCAAGACATACAGCTGAGGTTGGAGATAAACCCTGCATGCCAATCACCACCAACAGTCTAGCTGCTATTAGCATGCATATCTGCGTGTCCCCTAAAACCATGGCCCTGCAGCTTCTATTCCTGTCCATATGTGTTTTCTGAGATTTTATTGCATGCAATTTTGGAACATCAAGCATAAGGGCACAGATCACCCAGAAACCACCCAGCTGATCCATAGCAGGCAGCGACCCACCTAATGAAATCTTCTTCAGCAAGTATTAGTTCGATGTCTCCTATGACGACATCTGACTTAACATGGAGTTGCCACTGGAGTGTCATTTCCACAGACTTGCATCTACCAATATTTCTGGTCTCTCAACAGCTGTCATTTTACAAAATTTAAATGCAAAATGGACAACATGCCAAAGCAGATGCTCTTGGAAATCCGATTAATTCCAAGGAGTTTGAGCAGGCTTGGAAGCTGACTTCCTCAGCACATTTTCAAGCTGAGCTGTTTTTAGGTTCCCTTGGTGTGTTTGGATGCAACTTTATTGCATTTCATATCACTTGCTCAGTTCCAATGCCAGAAAAACCAAATGCTGCAGCAATGAACACAGACACATTACATTCCTTAGAACAGCTCCACAAGCTGCTGCAGTGGGGCTGAGGTCTTTGGCAAACAATCCCACTTATTTACCATAGAGTAGTACCTGACAGAAAGACAAAGTGATTAACCCAGCCCCAGACTCTCCCTGGTGGAGTGTGTGGAGGGCTAGTTGTAAAAAGGAACAATGTGACAGAAAGAGGTTAGGAATTGTATTTTTCTTGGCATATGGAACTGAAACTCCCAAGATTCCTTCTGAGCTGGTTTGCTTCCCATCTGTAAGATGTGGCATTAGCCAGGTCATGTGACACTGGCTATGGAGGGCATCCAGGCAAAGGCAAATGTGGTCATCGTGGTCTCTACAACAGCTAAATCCCATTCCCACCTGCAGCTCCCCTGGTCCTGACCCATCTCTATGCTCCATGAGGTTCTGGACTCTGAGTGTCATTTGTTAGATCTGCCCACAGTGAGGGGTAAAAAGAGATTCAGGTAATGGGTCCCTCCCCAAGGTGGGAGGTCATGGGTCTGCAAGAGGATTGTGCAGCATTGGGAAAGAGAAGAAAAGGAGCCCAAACTAAAGATGGCTCTTCTGAAGATGAAGTTTCAGAGCCTGTCCGTGGCACAGGGGCTATTTCTCAGATGGAGTTGTCCTTTCTCAACCCAGTCTGCCCCAAATTGATATTTCTTGCTGCTCTCTCCTGATAGTGCACCTAAACCTATAGGAATCCCATATGCTGCCCTCCCTAACCAGGGCCATTTGCTCTCTGTTCCTATTCTTCCTTCTCAGCACCCCTCCTTTCTCTAGGCTGGTGGCTGGTGGTTGGTGCTGGTGGCTGCAGAGTCTGAAGGGAGATGAACAAGGAGGACAGTGTGTTTCAGGCCTCAGTTACTACTATCAGTGGCCCCTGGCTCTGCCCCTCTGAGAGGGTGGTATGACAGAGAGGAGTCACTCAGCATTCACTTCTCTCCAGAAAACTCAAGCAAGCCAAAAGCAGGAGGCCTGGTGCCACCCACCAAGCCCTCCATTCCAAGTAGAAAGACCAGAGGAATGATTCAGCCCTTTATGCTCTTCAAGGAGACAAGAACCCCATGTGTGTTTGCAAAACTTAACGTATGTTGACATGACTAATAGTGTTAACAGTGGAGAATAAAGAGTATTTTTACCTCTAAGTGATGCATTGCAATGAATTGTCCAGGGCTAAGGATTTAGCTCAGTGGCATAAGGGCCTGCCCAGCAAGTGCAAGGTCATGAATTTGATCTCTGGTAACCAAAAAATAAAAATAAAAATAAAAACAATGAAGTATCCAGTACTTATAAGGAAAGCTATGAGGCATTATTGAGCTGTATAGTTACGTTTAAATTTTTTTAAAGAAAATATTATAGTAAAAGACACATTGCCATTAGTCCTTCCTCAAAATACTCTCCCTCACATTAAATACGCTTATCCCATTGGTCTTGCTGTTTTTTCAAGAACTCTGGAAATTCTCTTTCCTGAGTGTCTTTTTATCAGGTATGGTCATAAACAAGGTAAATCCTGCTGCTGTCATCAAATAAAATGATGTGTCTTCATCTACCTTATTCACTGGATCTAGTACTGTACAACTTCTGGATTACCTCCAAGGTCAAAATGACCATGACAAGTAAGTATTTTGAATCACTCAGGTCATGGAGGCAGCCATGACAGCACAAATAAAGACCCGCTTGAAAGAGGGCTTCCAGAACTGCTTCAGAAAGTGGCAAGAGCATTGGGATAAATATATTTGAAGCAAAGGACAGTGTTTTGACAAGGACCCATAGTAATGCTTCCCTTACTGTAATACATTTTTAAAATTTAAACTCTCTATTTTTTTGGTCATGCTTCACAATGAGAGCCAGGAATCATGATAGGTTGTAGGGGGATTCCCGTTAGGACACCAAAAAGGAATATCAGGCAGACTATCAAGTCAGGACAGTTTCTGGAACCTCATAACTTCAGTCCTTCCTTTGTACTTTCTTTCCCCTGCCCTTACCATCATTGCTCCCCCGGCAGGAAAGGCCCACTTTTGAGCATAATAGTGTCCCAAGAGACCCTTGCAGAACCTCTGGGCATGAGTCCACCTGATTGTGTTCCTGAAGAAATTGGGGGAGCAACCAGCTTGCCTCCCTGGTAAGTGACTGCGGCTCAGATAAGCTGCAGCTGCTCCAGGGTGAGAACCACCCAGTGTCTCCCAGGAATCATGCCATGTTAGAACTTGGGGTACTGGGAAACCAAGCAACTAGCTTGCCTTCCTGGTAAGCAGCTGTGGTTTGGGCAAGCTGCAGCCACCCCAGGGCGAGAACCACCCAGTGTCTCTTGAAATCTGCACCATGTTGGAACCTGGGGTTCTGGAAAACCAAGCAACCAGCTCGTCTCCCTGGTACGTGGCTGTGAGCCTACCAGCATGCGGGCTGAAAATCAAACATCCTATCCCCAACCCCTATTAGCAAATGGGAGCCAGAGATCTGAGCATCTCTTGGGAGGTTGACCATATGCAATGCAGGAGATAAGGGGGATTTCCTTCTAACCTCTCTTTGAAGGCAAATATTGTTACCACTGTTTTGCTGTGTTCTGATTAATGATATTGCTCTATTCAGTATTCTGTTTTGATAAGTTGTGTAATGTTCTGTATTTTGTTTGATTTTGCTATAGCTGCTTTCTAAGAACAATGATTGTGAAGATAATGAGATATACTATGGTACCTATTACTATTATCCTGGTAACCTGCTGTGTCTGTCTCAACTGGCTTTGTTTCATTTTGTTCTGTTGTATTTTACTATCTTCGAAATAAAAAAGAAATTTGGCCCTCCAAACACATGGACTTGGGATGGCTCACAACCTACAGCACGCCATTCCTTTCAGTCCTTTTATGTCTTTCACCTGGCAGGGTCAAAGGTCAGTGCAACTTGCTGGGGCTCTGCAAGAATTAGCTATATGAGGCATGGATGGTGTTTGGCAGGCCAACCAACATGGCTAAGGGTGATTGTGTCAGGATCTGAGCAGCCTCTGACTTCACCGGACCCATTGAGAGCCACAGTCTTTCTCTCTATAACTGGTATACAGCTTAATACACAGTAGGTACTCATTTAGTGTCCATTAACTGACTACATTCAACATAATTCACATGACCAATACTCACTTTGGCTCTTTTCTCTACCCAGTATCCTTTTCCCTTTGGTTGGCTTCCTCCCATCCTCCAAATTCCAAATCAATATCATATTGCTTCCTAAGAGACGTCTTCCCAAGACAGAAATTTGCAACATCCCTGCCCACCCAAATCTCTCTGTGTTCTACTGATTAGTTTTATTATCTTAATAACAGTACTTTCCTCTAATGACTACTTGTGTAGTTTCTCTTTTTTTGCTGGCATTGAATACCAGGGAAGGGATTGCCCTTGATACTCAGAGCTGTACGAAATGTCCCCCCTATGGTTTCTGAGTGACTTTGGAGCTCCTGTAAGCACTGTTTGAGTACCTAGAAGATAACTCAGTGGGAAGTACAATTAGCATGCTGACCTTCATACCAACTATTCCTTACTTTCTGAAGGTGCTAAGCTAAAAACCATGGTTCTCTGCTCCCAATTTGCCAACCTCAGTAGTGTGAGGACCCCTGAAATCTCTCCAAGGAACCAAGAATTTCTAAGAACTGAAAAGAACAGAGCAGGCAAATCACAAGGAAAACTAACTTTCCACATGCGCAAGGGCTTTATGGCATCTCTATACCTATGGCTGTATTTCCTTCATTGATCAGGGTAGACTGAGTCAAACAGTAACAAACAGTAACAAACATTCCCAATACCTTCAGGCTCAGCTGGTAGAAGCTCTGTTTTGATATGAAGGCAGGATAGAGCAAAGAATTACTAGCTTTAAAGATCCATCAGAACATGACATGTATGGAATCCTCGCTAGCTCATAGGGCAGAAACAGTCATGTGGCCCCGCCCACAATTCACAGGAGCTGGGAGTGCAGCCCAGACGGGGTTCAGAGAGGAGGAAGTTGGGCACACTTGATGACATCACAGATGACTTCCTTCTTGCATGATTGCCTGTACTGAAGAAACTGGAAAGGAAGGTAACAATGAAGGGGAAGGAAAGCACAATTATTAAGAATGTATTTTTTGCCTGGAGTGTTCAGAACAGGGTTTGTGTATCAGTTCCATTCTCATAGCAGGAGATGCTCAGCAGGATCATGAGTAAATAAGCATAAAACACACAATTTCAGCATTAGTGGTTGGACTACAGGGCCTTTGTTCTCAACCACTGGACACTATCCCTTGAATGATATAGGCCACAGCAGTAGGAAGGATTCCATTAGGGACATTAAACATGAGGCTTAACTTCTCTGAACTTCACCTTCTAATTTGTGAGACTAGGGATTTAATTCCTGCCAGTTTCAGAGACAGGGATGAATTTTGTGAGCTTGCACAAGAAAAAAAAAGAGAAAACATAATGCCCGGCTGGGATATCTCTGGAGATTCTTCCGCACTGCACCCCTTGGAGGCTGAGGAAAGGTTTCCTGTAACCCATTCTATATCCCAAAAAGGGAGGCTTGGGGGATGACCTGACAGACCCAAGAAAAACTGCGTCCCACCTAGCAATAGTGCTATGGGATGATAGGACTTTAGAAGGTTGAAGGATGGACATTCCATTGAAACCTCTCTATGTTGTGCAGTCAGCAACTACTTATAATCACAGCTGTTTTACAAAAGAAAGGGCAATGTGAGATCAAAAGAATGGAAAAGGTGTACTTTCAGAATTTTAAAAAAGCACACCTTTTTAAAAAATATATATAAGTAGAATTCTGCAAAATCTCACTTATGTGTATTTTCCCCTGCTTTGCTGCAGGTCAGGGCAAGAGTCAGCACAAGCCAGCTGCTGTCTGTGAGAACCAGGAAATAATCTTATCATAGGCTGCAGAGGCAGGGTGCTTTTGACTATGACTAACAGAGTCCCCTTTGGCAAAGGAGCAGCTGATGCCCAGCCATGGACAACTGTCTAAGGACAGAGATAGTACACCAGAGGCAGGGCTCCCATATTCTTATTTCTCACCTGGAATTATCCACAACCATCTTGCTATTCCATGCTCGCTGCACTGGTCTTGGCTGTGAGCTGTGGTTATGGGATAAAGATAGTCTGCATTTTCCCTCCTCTGGTCTCACAGATCCTCTTGCATTCCTCTGAGAAAGTCAGGGTCCTGTCTTCCTGAGACTTGGGCACCTAGCTCCCTGAATCTGTGGACTGGGACATTCATAGCTGTTTCCATGAACTTTTTTAAAGGAAGTTCTCCAAGCTACTTGTCCTTATTTATCTGCGCCTGATTAAAAGGCCATAAAGAATTGATTTGCCAAAGACTTAATAACCAGGAGCAATGGCAATGTATGTAATTTAATGACAGTTTTGGGCCCATCTTTCATGGCAACAGTTGTCCCTAGGGCTGCCATTCGATGACAGAACAGAGAAATGAGTCCTGTTAGTACTATGCTAATTATTTCCAAGCCTAGCATCTTGGTTTCCTCCCTGCCCAGGCGTGGGCTAGTCCTTCAGGGAAGATATTCATGACTCCATAGGCTCAAAGAGAAATTCAGAGCATTTAGAGCAAGTTTCCAAGAATTAGACAGGCAGGCAGAGTTGGATTCTTCAGGGTTCAGCTGTGTTTCCATTCAGATAACACATGCACCAAAGATTCCTGAATTAGTTGACATATTTTGGTGGCAAATAACAGAAGCTCAACTCAAATTGGCACAAAAAATAACAGGACTTTATTGGACAATGGAAATAAAAAGGGAGCTACTGATGTGAGCGCCAAACAAGCTAGATTCAGGGACCCGACTGGGCAGTTTCTGTAGCTTTCTCTTCGTTGACTTTCTTCTTGGAGAAAACATGCTTCTGTCTCCTGGTTCAGGGCAACAACAGTACCAGGCTTACCTCCAGCTAAGCAAACCCAGCTGCACAGAAAGCTTCTCCTTCTCACTGCTTGCTCCAGAAGAGTTGGCTTGGCTTGTGTTGAGTGCCATGCCTGGTATATTTAACACTTCCTAGGTTCCAGACACTGTGCTACATTCTGAAGATGCGAATATAAAAAAGACATGCTACCTTTTATCCAAGGATCTCACGGCCTCACTGAAAGAAGTGTGGCAGTTAACAGATGATGTTGGGAGTAACCCAGGTACGGTGCTGCTCCATGTGAGAGGCTGTGGATTGATTATAGGGCACAGTCGCTGCCTGCTGGGGATTGATTATAGAGTACAGTCTCTACCTGCCCTATATAATTCATTTCTTCTTTAGAGTACAGAAACCTCCAAGTCTCTGACCCAAATATATATTCCCCAGCAGTATGCTTAAGAACTCAGGATCCTGTAGTTTGACAGATAAACACATTTGAATTCTGGCTCTGCCACGTAGGAGCTCTGGGAACTTGGAAAGTGGATCAACTTCTCTGTGTATCTCCTGTACAATGAGAGTTAAAATAACATCAACCTAACAAGATTATTCTGAAGACTCAATGATGAAGTTGAGACAATAATTCAAAGCCAATATACACTAAAGCTGCAAAAATGCCTTTTGCTAGTATTTCTGTTCTGTGATGGCTGTCAGACCAGTTATAGAGACGTAAAGATTCTCTCCACTGGAGGGGGCTCCTAAATGTTCAACCAGGACAGGAACTGGTTGTTCTGTGCAGGTAAAACTTGACCAAACAGGGCTGGGTGCAGAAGTTGTCACATCAGGAGCCTGAGTCTCTTGGTAATTGAATCCAGAGGTGCCATACTGGGGAAAGGGTCTAGGTTGACATGGCAACTGCAGGGGACTGTAAAGGGCCTCCAACTCAGAATCCAGTGACAAAATGGGGAGTCCTGAGCCGAGGAAGGGAAGCAAAGTGATAAGAGGTGGACGGTGGACGGAATGTGTTTGGAGAGGGAATATTACTTAGAAGAAGGAGGTCACAGGGGTAAGGCCCAGCTTACCTGAGAGGAGCTATGTGAAGACCACTGACAAACTTCCAAGAGTGCTTATAGCTCATTATTCATCAGGGATAACAGTCCTGAAAGAAGAGAGAAGAAACCATGACACACCAGTCCATACCTCAAAGAACTACACTTATCAGGCACAATTCAGTTTACATACCCACCAGGAACCACTTTACACTGTTTTGAAAACTAAATCAAAGCCTTCAAGAACATGTGGAACTCATGTTTTGTGTAGGTTCTTCACTCTCCCAAGATGCTGTTTGCAACACTCCTGCCAACAGGATAAAATCCAGCTTTCCCAGGCTGGCATTCAAGGCCCTCTGTGGCATCTGGCTGCAGCCTACACCCACAGCACCTCTCTGAGAAGTATCTTCAGCCAGCCCTCTGCAATTCCCAACCTCTCTGACAAGGCCCAGCCGGTGGCTTCTGGACTTAACTTCCTCTAAGGCAGCAAGGCATTCATTGGAACTAAACCAAGTTTAGAAAAAGCTTTAAGGTTTAGACTGAAACATAATTAAATGCATGTAAGCTCTGAGCATTAATACAATCTGCCTCATGTGAAGTGTGGAGAGCAGTCACCCTGGCTGGGCCTGAGAAAAAGAAACAGCTCAGAAGTGCAGGGGTAAAACAGCACAGGGACTTGGCTACCAGAACAGAGGAGAGCAGAAGGACCAAGCCACCTGCCTCAGCTCTTCCTGTGCTTTCTCTATGGTCTGCCTGCTCACACAGTGAAATTCGCCAGACTCAAGGATACCCTCCTTCTGATTGGAACCATGTGCCATCCTCAGAGTCAAGGCCAAAACTCTCTTTTATGAGCTCATTACACTTGGTTGACGCTCAGCGAATGTTGTTTACGTGGAATTGATTTAATAGGGAACCAATCTGGGAAATACAGAGACTTAACACCCCCTTCTCAGCTGGATAGCCTCAAAGTTCTTACAGAGAAAAGTCCTAGAATGTGGCTTTAGGCCTGTCCCCATCCCCATTCAGTGCTCCAGGGATCCAGGACTCAGGATAGGAAATCTACATTGGCTCTGGGGAATTAATGCATTTCAGAGTCTCATGAGCTCCAAGAACCTGATGCAAACCCTTGTAGGGTGTCTGCTGAGCATGCACCCCATTGCCTGAGAACAGTGTCCATGCAGAGATGGGACCTTGGGCAGACCAGAAAACATGGGTGTATCTCTTGGTCATACCTATCTGGGTGCTCAAGCTCAAACAAAGGAGGGACTGTTGGAAGAGGAGACATATTCATTGTACTGAGGACGGGGACAAAAGTCTCTGGTCAGTCTCTTTTTATGCTGGACCTGAGAGCCATAAAGAAATAACTATTTTCCAGTTCAGAGAGGTAGACAGAGAAAGGCCATACTGTAGTGAGAGAAGATTAAAAGAAATAAAGGAAAGAGAAGGGGAGGCAAGAAAGAATAAACCCAGAGGCAAGAAACCCAGAAGCCAGGTGATGCCTCCTGAAGTGAACTCCACAGGCCCCCCAAATCCCTCTATGTCTGTCCTATCAGCAGCCTCTTCCTGATTAAACGACTTTGGGCATTTTCTGTCCCCTATCCCCGATTACCTTAGAGATAAAACCCAGCCATTTTCACTGCCCTCAACCGATTCCTGGGAATAACTAACAAGACAGGAATTAAGCCTCTCCTACTTTAAGCAATTCTGCAACCCTTTCCTCAGTTGATCTCTGCCCCCGCAAAGGCCCCAAGTTTGGCACACTGTAGGACAGGCACAGTGCAAGGTTAAGCAAGACCCAGCCCTCAAAATGAGACATTTAAGAAAATACATTGTGGTGTGCATGTGTCGTTGGCTTCTTGATTAACACTGGACTAAGCTGTTAGCATATTTCACTGCCATTTACAGAGCACATCTGTGTGTGCTTTAGTCCAATAAATAGACAGCGTTTGCTTCTTGGACCAGTATTTCTTTTGTATTTACTCTTTTGCTTTTGCTTTTGTTTTATTTTCTTAAAAACCCAGCTCATCAGTTTGCCTTGTGCTGATCTACTTGCCACTCCAGACTTTCACCCCCGCCCCTTCTCCTTTAGGAGCATTCTCTTATTGGGAGGAAAAACTCAACGTGACAATCCAGCCTCACTGTGATGGCTCCTCTCTGCCTGCAGCCTGGACTCCCTCATGCTCCACTGATAGCCTTTTCTTTATCTGTCAGGAGTAGCTTCAAGTAAGCTCCCCTTTAGAGAGGCAGCTTTGCACCAGGGGAAAACACTGGGCATTCTCAACCCCTGAAACTCACTCTGTGACCTTGATCATGTCCATTCTTTCCCAGAAGCCCTGTTGCTTGATGTGTTGAAGGGAAGCTCTAGCTCAGGACACTTTCAGGTTCTTCAAGGTCTTCCTGGCCTCATGGCTGCCTCCTTGACCACCCCAAGCTGCACAGGGGTGGCTCAGCCAGGGTAGCTGCTCTTCCTGCCAACTTCCCTCCAGCTCTGCTGCAAACTCACTTAGTCAGGAGCTGGTTTGGAAGTCCAGCCCAACTGGTTTAGAAGTCCAGGCCAGACATATCCAGACCCAGAGCCTTCTGGATCCCTCAACTCCGTACCACATCTGCATGCACTGTGGAAACTCTCTGAAGCACCTGTGTTACTTTTCTGCCTTAGCTGAGCCAAATAGACGGTCCTTCGCCACCAAAGGCTTCCATGGACCTCAAGACCGCTTTCTTCCCAATCTGAGTAAGAAAAGGAGAAAGTCTAAAAGATTGCATACACACAGACCTTAAAAACTTTTTATTGTTTTCTCCTCATAGTGGTTTTTAAACATACCCTAAAATCCTTTGACTTTCCTTAAATGTAAGTTGACCTCTAACAAACAGACTATGGAAAAAGTATTGCTGTGTAGTTTCCAAGCATATACATACAAAAAAAAATTAGCTTCTGCCTCAATCTCCCTATCCCCCACCTTCTCCCTCTTCTTCTTCCTCTCCCTCTCTTTCTTTCTCCCTCTCCTCTCCCTCTGCCTCTTTCTTTCTCTTAGACTGCTTGATCCAAGAGAAGCCAGTTGCCAGATCAAGAGAAGAGTCAAGCAACCTGTGGGGCTGGAGCCATGAGAGGAAGAACAGAGGCCTCCCGCAAAGGCCCAATACCACCTTGGAAGTTTATCTTCAGCCCCTGTTCCAGAACCACTTGCATGTGCTATACCAAATTCTTAAGCTTTTCAAAAACTCTTGACTCAGAAACTCCTTGAATTGTTTTAAAACAATTCCCTTTTGGGTCATGTGTGATACAGCAAGAAATAATTAATACAAACAGAATCTTCCATAACTGAGGCCTGAGTCACACGTATCTTTGCACTTTGAGAACGAAAGTACTTCCATTGTGCCAGAGTCAACATCAGTAGGCTACTAAGAGATGAAGTTTAACTGCACAGCTGCCCATTGACCTTGTGTTTTGACAGTACAGCAGCTCGGCTTTGGTCCATATGGTCCAGGTACATTCCTACATTCACAATCATTAGCTAACGAAGTCTCATGAGGCTAGGGCAGCCAAGACTGTACAAGCCTTGGTTTGTACAGCCATGGTTTGTTTGGAAGAAGTATGACTGAACCCAGAGATGTCACTCACCAAGTCCACAAATACCGACTCTGAAGAATCTTGTTGCAAAAAAGACTTCCCTCTGGTGCAGGGTCAGGACCTGAGCTGTGGCCTGTATTTCTAGAACCAGAGCAACAGGATTGCGTGGGCAGTTGGGGGCTATTGTAATGCAACCTTCTGGCTTCCACAAGGTATGCCTGGGCCAAGATGCATGAGGCATATCATCCACTCCTGACATAGGCTCTGGATGCCAGGAGCTGGGGGAGAGTGAGAGCAATCGCATTTGTGCTGAGCCCAGGCCTCCAGCCAAGAATGCTGGAGGCAGCCCAGCCTCTCATCCTCGTGGGCAATGACATATCTATCATCTAAGCACTAAACATGGAGCCCAGCACTGCCAGGGATGCCTGCCAGCACTTGATGTGCCCTTATGGGCCTCCCATTATAAGGAGATAGACATTCAAATCAATCCAGCTTAGCAAACATTGTCTGATCGTCTACTGCATGTAGGGCACAGGAGTAGTGGCTGGAGAAAAGAGGAAATTACTGTGGTTCCTACCTTCCAAAGCACCACTCTAGCAAGTACAGAAATGCAGGGTCACCAAGACAAAATGTGGACAAGTTGTAAACATCAGTCTCTGCCTCTTCTGGGATCATTATGAAAAAGTTCACCTGTAACCAATCTCTGAAGAAGTCACAAGGAAAGGATTTAATGAGGAGCAACAGCAGATGTCAACAAGCAGATGAAGAGTGTATGATCATAATTTTATTGTGGCAGTAGGCTGTCTAGGTCAGCTAGTGCTACCAAAATGCTACGTAACAAACAATTCCAAACCAGCAGCAGCTACAACAACAAACGTCTGTTTCTTGTTCATAGACTTTCTGGTTGGCTGAAGAATCTCTGTATCAGATTTCATCAAGGTCAAGTCATCAATATGACTCTCCTTCCAGGACTTCTGCTGAAGGAGAAGCAAATACCTAGAGAATACTCTTCTCAAAGTGCAAGACAGAAGTGGAAAAGGCCACTTTGAAGTCTTTAGGCTAAGTATAGTGTGTTTTATATCTTCTCAAATCCCATTATTTATGGCAAGTCATAAAGCCAAGACCAAAGTCAGTGAACAGGGAAGTATGCTCTGCCCACAGTAAGCCACTGCACAAGTGGGGAGGGAGAAAAACACTGTGAACAAATAATACAGTCTTGGCCAAGAAGAAGTCATGGGAGATGAAATGGAAGATACTCCCTGGAAAATACTAGTTGGCTATGCACCAAACTATTTTCATTTACTCTTTTCCATACAAGACTAGATGGAATTTACCAGTTCCCTTTGTAGTTAGTGTCTAAAATCTGGCCAACAGAGGGTGGTAGAAGGAACTAGTCCTCTATTTCCAGGACTAGCCCGTGAAAACCTCCCACTTTGCCTTCCACTCTTTCCTCCTGACGGGGAGACATGAACAATCTAGCAGTGTCCTGAAGTCCACAATGATGCCAAAGCCACGATATGAAAGAAGCCACCAGTTGGAAAA